GTTGGATAGTACCCCTGCTTTCAAAACTAGTCGACGAACTAGGCATGGGACTGAATGAAGGCTAAACCAATCTAATCAATTTGTACAGGGATCTAACTCCAGTCATTTTGACAATTGTACTATTGACACTCTTAAGAGACTGTAGTAGCAGCAAAATAAAATCAGGTACGAGTTGCGCGACTTACTAGCATGAATAAAACTATCACTCCTGCAACGAGAAAACAGGTAGTTGGCTTTAACAAGGAGACCAAACGGCGTAGCGCCTGGGAGGCTCGAAAATAGCAGAGATATCGTTGTGTACCTTATGGCTTTAGCAATATATAAATCGTTATCAGCACGAAAACTTCTCTAGTTAGTTTAAAGAAAATGTGCATCAAATCTCTGAGCACGTAGTCAATTTGATGTGTGTGTGTGTTTTATTGTACTACTTGAATCTATGACTATCCAGCACGTTAAGCCCCTCTCTGACCCAGGCCGTTTCTCCCAGAGCCAAGTTCAGTCAAATTTCGCATTATCAAAAAGTTGGCCCACGAGGCAAAATTTCAAATTACTCTACCACGTCGTTTTTTCGCTCCCAACGAATTTGACACCGACCTAAGTCTTATAAATTCTGCAAGTACGGCCAAGTACATCCTCATACCAATGACCACACAATTCTTCGATCTTCTCTGGCCTCAGTTGACCACCAAATTCATGCCCACGCCGATATTTATACTCGACGGAGGAAACAAAGCGTGGCGCACAGATCTGGGAAACAGCTTTTCGGGACGGACATGAGAGTGAACAGGACAAGTTTACAAGATGATGCGAAGGATGGATAAAAACGCGACGGGCGTCAAATTTCGAATTTTGGCAAGTAGTTTTACGAATTGAGCTATCTGCGCGCCAAGACTTCGCTTGCGACAGTGCAGCTGACACTGTAAAAACAAGCCGACGATGGGAGGTGTCGTGGTCCGCCTCCAGGTGGTGTTCTCTGGTATGGTTTGAGTAGCCTGGGCACCTAATTCACTTGGGAAGGACACATCTCAGATTACATTTCGCGCGGAGAAAAGTTGATGGATGACGGAGGCATTTCTGGATAACTCAGGGTTTTGAGACATTCTCCTGGGTGGGTATTCACGGATGAGGCTTGACTTGGGGTGAAGAAAAAGCCGCCATAACTTTGCAGTGGTACTTGCAAATGAAATCCGAGGCATGAGTGCTTTTCCTTTACGTTGAATCATCTGTTTTCTACTTTTCTTTGATATTGTGTCATAGTTAGATAGCTGCATACGCAATTCAAATCTGATAAAAAAAAAAGACCCAGGCCGTACCTTGTAGACTGATCCTATCCTTTTTTGCTACTTCAAAGACCATTAATATATTGCCTGTGAAGAATAGCCATTCAGCACGGTGCATACCTATGGAATTCGGGCACTTCTTTCACGGAACCTTCTATCCAAAAATTAATGGTAGCAATGGAAACTGCGTGCGCGGGAAAAAATCTCAAAAAACCTGCAGCCACAGTCAGGCTGGGCCTAGACACCGGGACCACATGAGGTGCGCATATTCGTCTATATCTCCCTTCTTTGTTACACTCGAGGTCGACTTGATCCAATCCATCATCTCTGTATCGGGTGCTGGGAACGCTCCGGAAACTCATCAGATGGCTTCTCCTCCATGATTAAGGGTTGGTGATGAGAAGCGCTTAGACTCCAACATTTGATTTGATCGTGGTTAGCTTCATGGTAATGGTGATAGGGAATATACTTTGGGATGAAGACAATACAGACCGCGGAAGTAATTGGGAATCCTCATCGAAGTGAAGGCTTTCTTAGTCAATCTTGGCTCTGCAGACTCTGCTGTGAGAGCTGGAGGTTCGTAGGGGACGCCACTGACAGGTATTGAGAATAGTACCCCGAATCTGGAATGAAATTTGCCATTAATGGGTGTTGTGGTTATGAGCTATGCGGAAGTCACATTGCGGAGTGATGAGGAGTGGATGATGTTATTATTTGTGGTTGACAGTGAGTAGCCTCATACAATACTATGCTGTAGGTATGTGGACAGAAAGTATAAGACTAAACCTGTGTCCATTTATTGAGGGTACATCTATGAAACTATATATATGCTCGCCTAACCAGTACACTAGTGATGTATACTGTGGCCTTGAGCCACACGCGATGCCCTAGAATCGACTACCTCGTTGTCTCATATCATAACAATGGGGCCTTTATTTCATCTGCTAGAGACTCTCCGTTGGATATGTGAGAATCAAATCAACTTTTTATGAGATGATCGATTACTACAACTCTTAGCAATAGGCGAAGACTATGATTCACAAATCTCAAAGACATGCAACTTTAAGCCGCAATATACATATCAATTTATGCATGTACATAGATCTGTTAAGGTGATCCCCCTCCTTAGTCTGGAAATTCTCTCGATGCAGCAGCTTTAGTGCGCAGCAAATTTCAAGATGATGCTGGCCACAGTCATCCCAGATACGAATAGGGTGAAGGTTGAATACCTATTTGTGGATCCCTCTATGACCTGTGGGGATTGATCATTCCTCGAATGATGAGATTCAACCACAAAAACTGATAAGTTTGAGAGTTTCCGTCTAGACCATGATCTTTAAAAGTGGCGCTTGCTCGAGTTTAGATCTAAAACTAGACATGTCAAGATACCACGACTGTAGAAATAAATGAATTAATCGGCTTTATCCCAATTACTAGAACAGACAAAGACGAGTTCTTCAACTCCTAGCGGTACCAATTTAATCCCTCAGTATGATCAGTATGTCTATATCGTCTTCACCTGCGATTAAAGTCTCCTATCACCACTATCAGGAAGCTAACCACGGCTCGATAAGATGGAAGGGTTAGTGTCAAACTTACCATCCATGAATATTTTTCCCGCAAATGACCATCGTTTCGTTGGCTAGAGAAGAGCAATAATGATGAGCAAAGCGCTCCTCTATGTGTATGATCGGATGAGGACTTATGAGGGGCGGTACTGTTTGAGGGGAGCGTCATGAGAGGCATAGGATGGGATATATATATATGATTCATCTTTCCTGATTTGGCGCCTTGAGGCCCATGCAGGTTTTATCGGAAGATATCCGCTTTAAGTAGGATGACTCAATTTGACGATTAGAACACTCACACTTAGATTTCATTTGCAGATACCACTCGAGGTTAACCCTTACGGCGTATAACCTCTTCCGTGCGTACCTACCACAGGGAAAAGCGTGAAAAACCTGTGGCTATCCGGGTGTGCTCTCATCATTCCACAAGTACAATATCACCGCGAGAGAGAGTAGTGTGTAGGTCTGACTGGATTCGAACCAGCTTTCTCCTGTCTCGAATGGGGTAGGTGTTCAAGCTACCCAGTATCTACTTGGGAGAACGGCCCGGATGGTGTACCACTGCACCATCCAAGCCTAGGATGGGATATACTACTGGCATAGGTATCCTTGGCCTGTAAGCAGAGAGGACAATAAAATTACGATAATAATAACTCAATTTATCCTTACTCAGCCATGGAGAAGCCATCAAGTGAGTTTCTAGAGCACACACAGCACCTGATAGAGCGATGATGGATTAAATCATGTTGAACTATCATATCAAGAAGAAGGGAGGGATAGATAGATGTACGCAACTCTTGCGGTCTCGATGTCGAGGCCTTGCTTGGCTGGAGCTGCAGGGTTTCTTTGAGAATTTCCCCAGGCCCGTAGTTTCCATCGCTAAGTTTTATTTCTATTTATTTTCGATGATCGTTTTTTGTCTTGAAGGTTCTGTGGATAAGGTGGCGGAATTTCAGTGGTAAATATCAAGTCACATGGCAATTCATTACGAGACATATATCACAGTTCTTGGAAAGCGGCAAATATACTTACTGATGAAGCAGGTAGCACCAAAATGAACTTCAAAGATACACCCTTAAAAATCAACCGTAACCTGACCAGGGCCCAAAGTAATGTCGCCACTCAGCTAAGAAGCGAGCATATCGGACTCAATTCTTACCTGTGCAGAAGAAAAGTACCCGGAGTAGAAAAGCCGAGCTGTCAATGTGGATATCCGTTGCAAAACGTCAAGCACATGGTGTTGCCGTGTCCGCATTGGGCAAATGGAAGAGGCGACTTTCTCCGACAAGCTAAAGACAGGTCATTTGAAGCCATGATGAACAGCCCAGAAAATGTGGCTAGAATCACACAGTGGATACTAAGCAAAGGGTGGATAAAATAGTTTCGACTTGCAGGGGAAGCCGAGGTAGCAATGTCGGAAAAAATAAATAGATCTGGAAGGGGAGAAGACGGAATCCACACTGGCTGAACAGTGTACACTGCACTTCCTGAAGGTAAACTAAATAAATTGATGGGAACATAAACAGACAGAATCAGGGGGTTTTCACCAAATTGGTTTCCCCCTTTGTAAATAATGAAGATAATCACTTGCATGGACCCTATGGGTCCATGCAAGTGATTATCTTCAAAATCAAATATCACAGGTCCTTTTTCGTAACAAAGGAAAATGGGCATTGTATAAGATGTAGCCCTGACCAGTTTGGGGTATAATGTGCTAGATAGTCGTCCACTTAGTAAGCGTCATAAACAACCAGCCAACGTGAGAATATTTTTCTTGTATCAGATTTCAATTGCGTATGCAGCTATCTAGCTGTGATACAATATCAGAGAACAAATTACATAAAAAATGACTAGACATGGAGGAAGGGCACTCATGTCTCGGAAAAACCATGGAGTTTGCCAATGTTATCGAACCGAGCCATGAATTCAACTTATCATAAGATGCAAGGCTAGCGGAGGATTAGCCGAAGCACACTCGCAGGGTAGCGCGTTGACATCCACGTTGTTCATGGTAGCTGTAGCTCTGAATATCTCTCCCAGAGCCGCATCATAGTCTTAATATCCAAACTCTCCAAATTTTTCATTATTTTAATACCAGGGTCGAGATCTCTAGACATTATTTACAAATTGATAAATACAACAACATAGAATCATGGCTGACACCGAGATGGAGATCGATACGGCCCCCTTCACAGATCAGGCTGTTGAGCCCAAGATTCCGACTATGACATCACATTCTGATGCAATCGCAGTACGGTCAATTGAAGGGTGGATTGTTCTGGTGACAAATGTTCATGAGGAAGCAAGTGAAGAAGATTTGAGTGACAAATTTGCGGACTATGGGGAAATCAAAAATCTACACTTAAACTTAGATCGCAGAACCGGTTATGTTAAAGTCAGTTGGATCCAAACACAAGTTAAGAAATAAATTAATGAAACATTATTGTGAGATAGGGATACGCACTAATCGAATACGCAACGCTTGATGAAGCCCGAGCTGCGATTGATGGAGCTCAGAATACCAAATTATTAGATCAAGTTATTGACATAGACTTCGCGTTTGTCAGGCCCCCTCCAGGAAAGTCCAGAGGGAATAGACCCTTCACGAAAACTAGAGCGAGAAGTCGTAGCCGCAGTCCTAATCTTAGAGATGAAGCTCCAAATTAGTCCAAATTTTCAAAATAAAATTTGTGTCTAACTTTAAGTTATTCTGCATGTGCTGATGTGATACCTGTTTTAAAATGTCAATACTCAAGTTATCAAAGGAAGGTTCGTTCGAAAGTCTTTATTCTCATTGAGCCTAACTAACTCTGGCAAGGAATTTTCTCTGGATAAATTAGAATACATTGTGTCACAGAACTCCAGCTTTTCTTCACTACACCGCTCAATCATCATAGAAGTAGCGTTATTGAGTAGAATTCACGATAACATGGAGTGAGCGAACAGATTTATTGAATTCACAACGAGTGTGATAAAATAGCTAAGAAAGTTGGTTTAAAATTCACTAACTATTTAGGGATCATCTCTTGTCAGTCTTCTTCCTAAAGATATAACTTTTCCTTTCAATAAACCTCAGATATCTGGTTGACACATCTTGTGTTATGAAGATAAGGACCTCTGAAGAAAAATAGCATGCTAAAGATCCTCGAACATTGGGGCGTTCAGTAAAAGTTACAGGCCTTGTATCTCTATTTGACAGAACATTATGGACTAACCCAAAAAATTACATCAATTACAACAATAACGGTATAAAAGTCCAAATAGACAAATTCGTATGCCCGTCTACTTATCAGAAACGGCCAAAAATACTTTAACAAAATTTTACCCCTCTATAAACAAAGATCTTCAACACGTAACGCTATGAATCTCAAAGACATGAACAGGGCATTAACTCATTCTACTGTGACGAGTTCAAGACCGGGATAGATAATTGGATGCAATACCCGTTCAAGTTCCACGTTTGAACAAACGTGGAATCGAACCAGTATTTCACATACGTTTGGTTTATACGCAGTGATCTAATCCCAAGTATCCCTAGTCTCAGAGTGCTGCCAAAACCACCCAAACCTACCTGATAGGGTATGACTTGAGAAGACATTGGGCTCACTGTCGTGAAAAGAAACAAGACTCTGTCTAATGATAGCGGATAAAAATATTGCAAAAAGCAAGAACTTCCAGGCAAAATCTATAATAAATGAAAGAGTAAGGTATTCAACGGTGATATGAACAAAATAGGAAGATGTTACAGATTCCCTCATTTGGAGAATTTGGTGCGCTTAATCTCCACCTGATATAACCTGATAAATCTATCAGTATAAATTTACATCTGTCCAGCCAATATTTTCGTGAGATAAACAGATTAAACAGAGGATATCTTCAAAAAGTTAGTCCGATTCGTTAATTTGATAAAATCAACCTGGTTACACTGCCTCCAGGAGCCAAAATGTTAGGCTTGAAACTGTGATGTATAAGGGATTAGCCCTGTAGGCGGAGTTGGGCTAGCTCGTAATAGGTTAGACTATCTCTCCTCATTACCCCGGTCGCCATGAAGTATGGTCCAATCGTCTTTTTCTGACATTCTGTCAGAGAAACACATTTTCAACGACATTTTTGACTGCCTAACCTACACAGTCCTTGAATCCATCCGCTTCGACTTCGGGCCACGGAAAGCACAGACAGCGCTCGTCACCGACTCGGCCTAAAGACATGCAACAAAACCAGACTTGGTTTCGACAGAGTGCATGATTCAAGGGTCCAGAGGATGTATCGACTCCTGCCAGAGGCCGAACTACCTCCACCGCTCCGACCTCCGGCCCTCCCTCAGCCAATTCCCCGCTGGACAAGCAAGAAAGAAGCAGCTAGGTTTATAAGAGAGTGGCTACCTACTCTCCCACCCGAATGTCTTTGCGTGTACAGTGATAGCTCTGGGGCGTCCACCGACAAAGTGTCATGGGCCTTTGTGACTTTTATCAGTGGCATAGGCAGGGTAATTGAGCAAAGCGGCTCAGGCAAAATGACCAATGCGGAGGTCTATGACGCGGAGGCTCATGGAGCTTTGGCTGCTATAGAAGCAATTACTGCCAGCAATCGAGATCGAGGACGCAGCGCCATCTATATTCTGCTCGACAATCCTGCGGCTGTCCAGGCCTTACTAACGGGAACAACAGGCTCATCATCCTGGAGGATTCAAAAGTTCTGCAAAATGGTCGCTAGAGCAGCAGCGCCTGTTAAAGTAGGATGGATTCCGGGCCATGAAGGGCTGGTAGGAAATGAAATGGTTGATGAGCTCGCTCGAAGAGAGCTTAACTCGTCGGACGATACGAGGACGACACATGGGGTGATGACCCTCGCCTCTTCCGGAAGGAAAGCTCGCGAACTGGCCAGGCAGATGGTTACCGACTGGTGGCATTCGAATCGCCCCAGACATTATGTCGACCTCGAACTCGAGATGCGACGCAAGAAACCGCCAGAACTAGTACTACCAAGGGCAGTCTACGCTCGCTTAATAGCCGCTCGAACCGGACATGGAGACTTCGCGGCTTATCATCGCCGCTTCAACCACACTGACGCTACACTTCACTGCGAGTGTGGGAGGGAAAAATCAATCGGTCACCTTGTTCAGTGTCGAAAAGCACTGGCAACATGGCGGCTGAAAAGCGGAAAGCGAAGGGCGCCAGCTATAGAAACAATGCTCGGATCAAGCGGGTGGCAACTGTTCAGGGACTACGTCCAGGAGAGCGGAATATACGCGGAGGCTAGCCGGGGGATGGCAGGGATACCTGTGACTCGGAGGTGATGAACGAAAGCCTAGGTGATCTGGCATGGAAGTAGTAATAGGAATCGAGGCTCGGGCGCGTGGTGGCCGAGGCGGAACGATGGAAGGGAGATTGTCAAAGTTTTTCTTTTGTAATGCAGGACTTTGCGTGGAAGTTTTCTTTTGTTTTGTTTTCAACTCTGGGCTGCTGTACTCGTCATGCTTCAACACATAGATGCGTTTCGGCATGGTTCCGGTCATTGAGGTGGGACGAGGCATTTGTACTGCACGGTAGTTAACCTGATCCGGCCCGACTCCACTCGTGCTCAAGCTCCAATAGGAGTGCCACGGTAGGTACTTCACCTAGCACGTTAATGAACAAAAATCGCACAATTCGAGAAATTCGGAAATTCCCTATATTCCTTTTCCCTTCTCATGATTATTCCTGTGCTTGAGTTCTTGAATTGATGACCATCGAAAGGCGTCCCAAAATGCCTCCGATGAAGAGCAAACGACCGAACTCGACCATTTCTGTCGGCTTTGAACAGAAACACATGTGTCCAAAACCTCCTGGCCTAGCGCAAAAATTATCAAGCTTGTTTGCGAGTGAGGCCTTTTTCCCAGGGAAGTCTTCCACCCTTCCCGACCAAGAGATGACTGATTCTGATCCGATCAGAACAGAAACGAACAGTCAACAGACCGCGAAACCTGCCGAGCTGGTCCTCGAGGCAAGCAGCTTCAGGAAAGGAAAGGAGGTCGTCAGAGAAAGGACGACCGAACGTGCAGAATCGCCTGCCAGAAAAAATGCTGTGCCAGCCTCAAAAGGCGCAGCATCGACATCAGCTATGGAGTTTCCCCCGGAGCTGCAAACCGTGATGGAGGCCGAAAAGCGACGTACGACGCAAATTACGGCCCGCCTCGCTATCTGCTCGACTGCGATAAATAGTGTTGAAGCAGCACTTTCGCCTCTTTCGATCGGCGAAAATAAAGAATTCGTAGACGGTATAAATGTCTACCTACGAGCAGCTATTGGCCAGTTCGTTCAATCCGGTCCAGGAAGCACACCACCAGTCCTTCCTGCCCGCCCTGCCAACCCTCTCTCACCGAGGGCTCCAGAAATTAGGGCACCCAACTCTACGAAAACCCAGGCTCCGGCCCCAAAGACAACTTGGGCCACCGTAGCTCGGGCAGGCCCAGTCAGTAGCGCTGGGCCATCGACAAAAAAGGCAGCACCGCCCGCCCAGAAAGCAAAAAGTGCCAACTCGAGTGGAAAAGCCGATTCACGACTTTTTCTGCGCCTTGACCATTTCCATCCCCACCGTCTCCTTTCTCAAGCTGGAGTAAGGCTAGCGGTGTCTCAGGCGCTGGGAACCGCTGCCAACAATATCACGTTGGTTCAGCGGGTAAAGACCGGCTTTGCAATAACCGCAAAGGATGAACTCGCTCGAACAGAGCTCCTAGATTCCTCCACATCACGGAGCGAATCTGGAATCAAACTGGAACCAGCATCAAATCTGGTTGCCATGCAAATTGCCACCGTCCCGGAGACAATTCGAACTCTTGCTGGCCCAACCGCCGTGACGGCAAAGATGGTTGCCGACGAAGTCACGCGAGTGACCCAGTTGGTTCCCTTTCTGGTTCGTCCTCATGGGACTAGCAAACCAGGGGCGCCCTACTCAAATTGGCAAGCGCTATTTCCACGAGAATCCGCTCCTGGACCTGGATTCCGCCTTTTCGACGACTCTGGAGCTGCAAAGCTCTTCCGACCTCGTCGCAAAATCGAACAATACAAACGGTGTCTTGAATTTCACGCCACCCGTGGTTGTTCCCGCGCTCCAGCTTGCTGGAATTGCGGATCTAACATGCACTCAGAATCAGAGTGCAAGGCCCTCACCCGGTGTCAAAACTGTGGGGGACCTCACCGATCGGATTCCCGGGCCTGCTTAGCCAGACCCAGCAAGTCCGGACCGGTGACAAAAGAGCAGCTCGCGCGGATCCGCCAGATCCAGTAAGGGGAGTTCGCGAAAGTGGCTCGATTTAGGGCTGCAGCCAAAAGGGCCGAAGAGGCAACGATGGCCTCAACGAAGGATGTCTCGATGGCCGAGGAATCCGAAGAAGAAGTTTGAGGGTACAGCAACCCTCGGTGAAGTCTACAGATAGCTTCAAAATATATGACAGGATACCAGCTGAATTCAGGTTATCTGCGAACTAATCTTTCGCTCTCAGCGGAGATAAGAAAAAGTCACGTGCAAGATGTGGCAGGAAAGGGAACGGGCGAGAAGCGCGGGATCCGGACCAAACAGTATTTCTTCCAAATTAGATTTCAGTTTTTGATTTATGTTTTTGATTTTAGTTTTGCTGTTTACTTCTACAATTTCAGTAGAAGTTCATGCGGTTGGAATGAGTTGGGCCT